ACTTTGACTAGCATCGTTTCAATCAGTCGACAACATGAACACCGCTTGGAACTACTTCCATAGTAATTTCATTTATTTTGTAAACAAACATGCTCCTTTCCGCAAGTTCAGAATGAAAGGATGAGACAGCCCTTGGTTTACTCCTGAGCTAGCCGACCTCCTGCACAGGAGAGATCATCTTTGGGCTGCAGCGAGAAAATCTGGCTCAGACACTGATTCCTTGAGGTTTTGGCAGATGAGGAATAAATGCACAACTTCTATCAAAGCTGCAAAACATAACTATGTCTTATCTTAGACCTCCAAAAATCTAAATGATCCTAAAAGATTCTGGAAAACCATCAAATCTCTCTCAGGCAGCTCCCAATCATCAGACCTCCCATCACAACTTCTTGTTAACTCTGTTCTTGTGTCAAATAAGCACGAGATCCTGAACTGTTTCATTAAACATTTTGTTGCATTTAGTTCTTTATTTGACAGTTACTAATGGAAAATCAGCTACTTCCCCTAAAAGTCAAACATCTACAAACCAAATCTCTCCAACAAGTCAATCCTTCGTAAATGTTGGTTACGTACTGTAACCCCAGATTCTAAGAGTATAGGCGTAGCCCTTTAAGGCCGTCACTTGTGGGTTTTATCCCGTCATGCAAAGCATCGCACTGAAAAATTTAGTCCACGCCCACCTGTCGTGTGGGCCCCACCTGGTCCGTATAAATTACGTTGAGAGCGGATAATCGGCTCCCAAATAGCTTTTTTCTTCAGCCATTTAGCAGCCAGTGAGGCCCAGAGCTTAAAGGGCTACGCCTATACTCATAGAATCTGGGGTTACAGTACGTAACAAACGTTCCATTTTGTATAGGCTTCGCCCTTTAAGGTTGTCGCTTGTGGGTTAAGGGCGAAGCAGGATGTAGTCTTTGCCTCACTGGGTCCATTCGAACACCGTACGAAGCGCCCGCTTGCTACTTTGTAAAATGTGTCATTGAGGGAAGAGTGTAACCTGGATTGAAAGTGTGGATTATTGTAACCTGGATTAAAAGTGTGGATTATTGTAA